TGGAGGTGTTTAACTTGCCACTGTGTCTCCAAGAAGAGCCTTTAGCCTAATTTTTTCTTTTAACCAGTTAAGTGCTCCAAGACCTTGTAAAGCATCAACAAATACTCAGTTCTGTACCTCTCCAAAGCCAAGCACTGGTGGACCATAAGAACAGTCACCTCTGGGTAGTTCAGGAGATTGAGTTTTGCTGGGAGCAAAGGTGACCTGTAAATGCCTGTAACAGATGTAATATTTCCCCTCCTCCCCTTCAGATACAAATAGGATAAAAGTCTGGGCTTGCAGTAGGGATGAAAAAATCACCTTCTTCCAAAGTGGCTTCAGAGTCCTCCAGAAGTCACCTTGGAGCACAAAAGAACAAACCTTCACAAAGATTCTGATTTACAGGATTCATTTCAAGCCCTCTGGGGAGTCCCTCTGTGAAGTTATACACTCATCTTCTCCATCACTGTTGCAAGTGAGCTGCTGTCTGCTCTTAGTGGTAACCCAGGGAAACCACAGCAGCCAAATAACTTGAGGGACGATTTGGCAGAAGCAAACGTCAGCCAAGGCTGATTTTTGTTGAGCTGACCAAGAGAGGCTGAGAGCTGTATTCTTTTTCCTTTCCAGAAGTGTGACTTAATTTCCATAAATTTCCATTTGCCTTCTCCTGAGCTTATGAAGCCCCAGCCCGTGACTTGCTCTGTCTTCTGTGCCCTGCCAAAAACCCTGTGTCATTTCAGTGCTTTGTGTTTTGGCTGGTTTTGAAACCCCCTTTGGCAACAGAGAGCTAAGAGAAAGGTGGGATGAAAAGAGAGTCATCGATAGAGAGCCAGGCTTGGTGCCTGGGCAGGGCAGGACCCCACGGCCACCAAGATGGGGCTGGGAAGGTCAGTGTCACTGCCTGGAGGGGCTGGGAAGGTGTTGGACCTCGGAGCACTGGGTGAGTCACCAAGAGTGTCTCTGCCATGTCTTTGCATCCATCAGTCTCAGGCATGTCTTCAGGGGGACAGGGTCAAGGCAGAGGTTTTTGGTGGGAGCCCACCTTCAGCTGGCATCCACGTCATCACCATCCTGCACAGCTCAGCCAGAGCAAAGCAATTTGGGTCTCTGAGGGCTGCTACTCAGGTAGAGCCTACAGGAAAGGTTGTTGCTCCCTACAAGACAAAGCATGACTTGGTCCTGAGGACCAGTCCCATCCCACAGATGCTGCCAGCCTGGTGCTTGGAACAGCTTTGGGGGCTGCACTGATTGCAGGAACACAGCAGCACGGAAGGAGGTTAGTGTTTTGTTCTCTCCTGCCAGGGGCAAACAGTGTAACATTGGATTTTCTTCTTTTTTTTTAAAAAAAAATGAGGATTTAGCACAGAGGGTCACAGGGTTTGTGGTGTTTTTCACAGCAGAGAGCAGCCAGTGCTGAGCCTCTCCACGCACAGCTTTGTGCTCCTGCTGCACCTCACCATCCATCGTGGTGCTGAGCAGAAACCTCAGCCCTGGGGAGTTCACCCTGATGCAAAGACATCAGCTTTAATGGAGAGGAGAATCAGCCTGAACCATGCTGGGTGATAGCAGAGATGAGGCCAGGTCACTCTGCCTGTGCATTCAAACAACCCTGAAGACAGAATTAGCTGAGATTCAGTATTGCACAAGTTGTCCTTTCTATGGGCCAACATAAAGACCACGACTTTCAGGTCAAAAAATGAACCTGGATACTCTCCAAAAACTCCTTCCCCGGGCCAGAGTGATCTCTAAAGGTATCTAAGGACCAAAAGGCTTCCATAGGATGATGATAGGAGTTTCAGTGATGGAAACAAATTCCACTAAACACCTAAAGAAGTCTTCCTGCTCCTGAAGACCTTTGAAGATATATATAGCTCCTCTTGAAGCAGGTGGGAAACCTTCTACTGGCTTGAAGCATCAGCTCCAGCAGTGTGCAAAGTCACCTGGAAATGAAGTGTTGCTGCACTGACGTGCTCAGTGTGCTGGGGTCTGGACTCACCACCCAGCAGGAAACCCAGCAGAAAAAAAATCCACTGAATCCAGCAGGTTTGCAGGGAGGTGTTAGCTTCTCTAGCCTTCATCATCCTCCAGAGTTTGTGTTTGCAAATAATTCCTTCCACAAATTAAAAACTTCTGCTTCTGGGGAAAATAGTGATTTATTTTTTTTTCCCCAACTATGTGAAAGTTTTGGTACAAATCAAGAAATGGGAAAAAAAATCTTTAAAGATAGCCTTGCATAGAAAACATGCAATTTTCACACTTTTACCATAACAATTCAGAAAAGGGAAAGTCAATGCTATTCCAGACAATTTGCCAAGCTGTTTAAAGACTGCACAATACAATTATGGGATGAATAAGACTTTAAAGAAAGCTCAGAAAAGACTTTTTTGAGTCCTGCACAACTATATTAGGCAAGAGTAATTTATAGCTAGGGCAAAATTTGTGACTGAAGCCAATAAACTGAAGCTCAGGTGACAAAAGCATTTCTAGAGATCAGTGCTTCCTTTTGCTGATGTGTCAACATCACTCAGCAGTAGGGAGGAGAAGGATTCAGCAGCTAAAGCCACAGAAATAGGAGCAGGGAACTGCAGGGCTTGTCTCTTAGTCTGACACACTAAGTCTGAGCAAGTCATTCCAGCCTTGTGTGCACCAGCTCAGCTCAGCAGCATCCTGAAGGTTCAATAACTGTGTGGTCTGGGGCAAACAGAGAGCTTGGTCCCTGCTGCTTAATGATCCTCCTCAGCATCTCGAGGTAATGCCAAAAGATAAGTCTTCTATACCTGCAGGAGCTGGTGAGATCTTTCAGTAGCTTAGAAAGCTGCTGTAGATGTAGCAAAAGGGGCTGTTAGCAGCTTGTGAAGGTGGGGTAGAGCTGGGACTTCCCTCAGTCTGCAGAGGAGCTCTGTGGTCATTACCAGAATAAATGAGAGATGATGTTCTTACCATGAGGGTTGAGAGAGCCAAAACTCAGCTGGTGACTTCTGCTGAACACATTCAGGTCTGGAGCACAAAGCTGTCTAGAGACTCCATCCTTCTGAAGAAAACTTTGTAAACAACCACACTGCCTTTCATCAACAGAGGAGCTGCATCTTTCTCCACTTTCTGAACAAAGAAACTGAAGTGCTTCTCATTGCCAGTGCATCTGCTCCCCACGGGCTGATGTGCTTCTTAATTCTTCCTTTCATGGATCCCCTGTAGCATCTTGGGGGGGTGGTTGGATTCTTTCTCCATCTTTCCATTCCTGAATCCCTCCAGAGCAAAGTCACCACACATCTGCACTAGATACTGGGTGTCCAGCCAATGCTTGTGTGCTGAGGACACTGATGGTCCTGCCTGCGTGGGTGGGTGGGTGGAGAGGGGTTGTCTCCATCTGAGCAGAGCCACTGGTGGATGAGGCTTCCCTGGTTCTGCAGGCTGCTGAGGGATGTGGGGTTGCTGTGGAGTGCAGGGCTTCTGTGTTTAGAGGTGCAAGATATGTGGCTACCTGTGGAAGGAGTTCACATGCCCTGTAACCCTGCCCCAGGGCAAAGTTCTCTGCTGGTTTTAATACCTTTATTTCTTTTGTCATTTTGTGGCTTTTAATCAAATTGCTTCCACAGCAGTTTGGAGCACACCATTTAATACTTGTTAATATTTTGAAATTTTAAATATTTAAGGGGTTTTTGATTTGTTCCACACTCATCTCAGTGATGGACTGAGACTCCTCCTGAGCTGTACCACAGAGAGGATGAGCCTCTTGGGCACCCAAACCCTCCATATTGCAGGGAGGGTGAGCACAGCACCTCACTATCCCACCATGGCACCTCACCAACCTACCACAGAACCTTGACATCCCACTACAGCACCTCACCATCACTATGGCACCTCGTCATCCCACCACAGAACTTCACCATCCCACCATCACTATGGCACCTCGTCATCCCACCACAGAACTTCACCATCCCACTACAGAACCTCACTATCCCACCATGGCAACTTGCCATCCCACCACAGAACCTCACCAGCACCATGGCACCTCATCATCCCACCACAGAACTTCACCATTCCACCACAGAACTTCACCATTCCACCACAGAACTTCACCATCCCACTACAGAACCTCACCACCCCACCACAGAACCTCACCATCCCACCACAGAACCTTGCCATCCTTCCACAGAACCTTGCCATCCTTCCACAGAACCTTGCCATCTCACCACAGAACCTTACCATCCCACCAAAGAACCTCACCATCCCACCACATCCACCTTGCCACAGACGTGCAGGTAAATCCTACACGTGCCCTGGGCTGCCATTTATTAAGCTCAGCTCCAGCAGGGTTTCTAGACAACCCACACAGCCCTCTCAAAGCCTTCTTGCATTTATTTGACACAAACAGTGACTTCCACTTGATTCAATCACTGCTTAATTTGATACTCCATTTAATTTTATCAAAACTGTAGTAATCAAATAATTTGTACTAAAAACATTACGACTTCCACTTGTTTATTCTGATCAATTTTAATCCTTTAAGGCACAAGGTCTATTGGATAATTTGGTTAGGAGATAACAAAACGCTGTCATTAAATCTGCAAGGAGAGGACAGAACACAAAAGAGAAAGTTGAAAGGTTCCCAAGGAGAGTTCCTAATAAAGAAAAACTACAATAACACACTGTTATTTAGAAGTCACACGATACAAAATGAAAGCTAAGAAGCATCCTGCTGCTCACAAGATGAAAAGATCATGCCATGCTTCAAACAAGACATTTCTGTCAATGAGCTGCACTGAAAAGGGGAAGACAACATAATTGGATGCAAATGAATTTGCCTTTTTTGAGTGTTGACCCCCGTGAACGAACATATGTCAGTGGTGGTTTGAGTTTTCCCTCTGTGCAACAAGCCTTCAAAAGGCAAAGCCAACAGAGGAAGAAAACATCTCCCCTGCAGGCAGCTCCTCTGTTTCTTTGAGAAATAAAAGCCAAGCTCCTGCCGCACTGATCCTTCCCATCCTTTGACCGTGCCACATCTCTCTCCCCCACAGGTCAACACTTTCATCTCCTTCGTGTTCCCCATGGTGGTCATCTCTGTGCTCAACACCATCATCGCCAACCAGCTCCTGGTCATGTTCAGGCAGGCTGCCCAGGAGAGCCAGGTCTGCACCATCGGCGGGCAGCAGACCATGCTCAGCATGTCCATGGAGCCAGGTCGGGTGCAAGCCCTGAAGCACGGCGTGAGGGTCCTGCGTAAGTACCCACACCCTTTGGCATGGCACTGGCCACGGGTGTCTAAGGAAATGGGGTTTGAAGAGCAGTGGGTTGAGTGGGGTGAACGCTTTCACTGGAAATATATTTGAAACAAAAATCGCCTCTTTTTGGAAATCCAAATTGCCCACAAACACTTCAACCTTTAACAAAATTGCCCGGTACTTGTCTCAAAGCCCTAAACTTTGGAAAATAAATTTGTTGGTTCTCTTGGTCTCTTTCCTTCTTCATCTCTTTCTTTCTGAATCACCAAGAGTTTCCTAGGGAATTTTAGCCTCTATTTTCCACTGTTTCGTTTTTCTCCCAGAGACATGTTTCTGAGTCCTAACCTTTCTTTAAAGGATTTAAAAAAAAAATCGTATCTAAAAATATCTGAACACATTTCAGACTAATTCCCAAGCCCTGTTCTGGAAAACACCTTCCTCTAGGTTTCAAATGCAATAAAGAATTCACATTTCATGCCATGTCTCAAATACCATTGAGAGCTAGGAGCATAAGTGGTCATTTATGAACTGCTCAGGTGGGTATTCATAAGTTTATGGAGAAACTAGAAAGATCTTGACATCTCCATGGGTAAAGGCAGAAAGAGATGCAATTTTTTTATTATTATTATTCCAAAAAAACACATTTAGGGTAATCACAAATAATCCTTTTCTTTTGCTTTTGCTTGTTAATACATAAAGCTAAAGAACAGAACTGCCTACACCTTACACACAGGGACTCTCTGAAAAAGCAAATCTAGCCCAGCATTTTAATGATTTAGTCAAGAGCAATTTAAGCTGTGTGTATATCACTTAATTCCTTTCCTTTTTCTGCAGAGCTTTGGTTTAAACAAAGTTTAAAGAAAAGATCCTGCAGCTAGGAATTGAGCTGTGCTGCAAAACACTGGATGGCTTAATTAAATAAGCTGAGGAAAAGACCAAAGAACCTGATAGCTTAAATTAACAGAGGATAAAGCAAAAGTTGTTCAAAATTAGTACCCTTAAAAATCTAACAAATTACACTAGTACTGGTTTTAAACTGTGAGAATCCTCCTGCACATGAGATGGTGACAGCTTGGTACCAGAAAGCTTCTTATGGCAAAGGTCTTGGTAGCTGAAGTGCTCTGGCCAAGACCACCTTTTCAACAAGGGAAAAAATCCCCAGAGGAGGCACCAAGAACCTCCCTGAGATATTTCCATCTGATTTTCTTGAGGGATGTACCCCATGCAGCATGCTCTGCCCATGCCACGGCCAAGCTGCCACGTTCATCCCAGCTCCAGCACCACGCTGGGCAATGCCCACTGAGAAAAAGGAGGCAAAACCCCAGAAGACATGAAATTCTCCATCACGACCTTGTCAGGCTGTGTTTATTTGCTGCCTCTGCACCCCAATGAACCATCATCCACAGGAGGATGAGGAGCAAGATGTGCTTTGGCAGTGAGCCTGGGAGGATGGGGCCATGTGGTCCCTCGGTTCCCTGCTATCTTCTTCTGTTTCTTAACACTTCTGCCTCCTGCCATTAAGTGAGAAGCTGCCTTTTCTCACTTGTCCTACAGCATCTCACACCTCTGTCTCTCCTTTTAGTTTTGTATACTCTTCTAGCATCAAGAAGAGAAGGCTCTTTGTGAATAATGAAAGAGAGACCTAAACTGACACCTTCTGTTCCCTGGGCATCGCTGGGCGCTGGTGGGAGAGCTCCCCTCACCACCAGGTCCACGTTTCCTCCAAGGCACTGAAAAACAGCCCTTCTTTCTCTCAACAAGCTTGATTTTCTTTCTCTTCTTCTCCAGGCAAATTTTTGCTTTTGTTACGTATTCCAAAAACTGAGAAAAAAAAAATCAGCAAAAGGGAGGGCTCCAGGCTGGAGCTTGGAATGGTGCAGAAGTGGGTCAGATGTGGCACCATGGGCAGCAGTGGACAGGTATTATGTGCAGGTATGATCAGGACTGAGCTCCCTTGTGCCTTTTCTGGACTGAGGAAGATCCAGCAGATAAGAAATCCATCCTGGGCTCTGTCTGTGATTCACCACAACGTGCAGAAAGGCTTTTTCATCCAGCAAGTGTGAGTGAAATCCTGCTTCGTTTCATTCTCCAAACCCACTCCATTACTGGAAGTGTCTGATTCACAGTTACTTTTGTCATCTGTTCCTGGCAACTTTTGGTTTTTTAATAAACCAAGCCCCTGAGCTGTCTGAAAAATAGCAAAAAAAGAGACAAGGACACACAATTTATCCTGGGATCCATAGCAGCCAAAACCATGTACACAGTCAAGGTTAGTTTATGGAAGAGGATAGGAAAAGAAAAATGACACTTGTCCACACTAATAAAACTGCTGGCACAAAACCAGAGCTTCAGGACCGTCAAAGGATTTTCCATTTCCAAAAGTGAACTTTGGCCTGAAGTACAGAGAGCTTGCTTTTGTTTAGGGGTGAAATGTTTCAGAACTTGCAAAACTAGGGCTCAGAAATTTTTGCAGCTCACGGTGTGCAGAGCTGCTGGATGAGATCAGAGGAGTAAACACCTTCCTTCCTTCCTCCAGATCTATGGAGATGATGTATTTATTCACATTGAAATAGGAACTAAAAGTGGTCAGGCTTTTAAGTTACAAGGCTTTAAAACATCCACAACAACGTTTTCCTCCTCTTTGGTACAACTAATGTATTTTCTTGGCTCTGTCTGACATTGGTGGTGTACAAAATAATTAGGGAGATCAGGATCAAGGAAGGTGTCAGCCCTGCTGCCTGGGAGCCACCTCATTAATTCATTAAGCATGTGGTTTCTGACAGTTATTCCCTCTCTGCTGTCAGCATTCACCTGGTGTGAAAATCCAGATTCAGAGAGCTCAAGGCACTGGCAGCTTCCCAGCTCTTGATAAGGGTAACACAGCAACATCTGAACCAATGCTAAAATACACCTCCCACCAAGAGATTTCAGACTTCCCTTCATTCACCCAATATTCCTTCCTTTTCTCCAATTACAAACCATCTCCTTTATATTATTATTCCTTGGCTGCATTCTAGTGTTGGGAAGTTGAGTCTCTGGGGTGCTCTGTGATGCTTCAGGGAAGGGTGAAGCTTCTCTAATTGCATAGCCTGATAGGCCAATAATTTGATATCATCATAAATAAATTTTAAACACACACATGCCCACATGTACCCCCCCTTCAGAATCAGCAGCCTTCAGCAGGTGAAACCTCACCTATGCTGCCCAGACCATTGCATACTCTACCCCAACACAGAGAGACAACACACATCTGCTCAACTCAGTCTCACATTTCCTAACAGTTGCTCAAAAATCAGGGAATATTTGAGCTTGGCTCAGGCTGAAAGCACTGCTTGGCCAAAATATCTTCTTGAAAGGGGACAGTTTGGTGAGATGGATTAATTGTCCCAATCAAGACAGGAGCCTGGAGCTCGTTCTCCTCTGAGCAGCTCTCAACACCTCCCCGACTGCCTGTCAGATCCATTCTTGCTGTGGGTGGAAGGAGGGAGTTATTGGATGGTACAGCTGAGCTCTGATAACCACGTTGACACAAATTGATGGACATCAAGAGGAGGCTCTGCATGTTCCTGGGTGGACGTTGGCTGAGCCTATTAAAACGTAATCAGTTCCAGGTAGTGTTTGCTCTGCTACAGAGGCTGCTTAGTGAAAGCAATTATAAAGCACTTAGAGAGGTTTAGCCAATTAAAAGAATTTCCTTCAGCCCCCACATCGGGCTGGGTGATACCTCACTAGGACACTTTTTAGGAGATGAAGTCAAATCAGATTTTTTTTACATATTTTTTTACATTATTATTTTAGGGTCACTGCATTTCTTCAATACCAAAGGACAAGTATCAATAAATTATCCACGCACCTTTAATTTCATTAATTTCTGTAATTCCCCTTCTGAACTAATGTTTCATTCATTTCTCTTCATCAGTGCTCCAATTTTGAGCTACCTCTTTCAGAGGGAGAATATTGCTGAGATCTACTGTAACCCTCCCACAAAGAGGGAATGCTTTGCAGCCCAAATACACAGAAGAGCACCCATCTGGAAATCTGCTCCTTAAATTATTCTATTTCATAATTCCCATTTTCTAAGGAAATCAGGTTTGTGCACGAATCATTTCTTTTGCAAGAAAGGAACTAAATTCATGGCAATTTGTATCCCTGCTAGAAAGTCTGAGCAGCTCTGAGTGGAGTTCAGCAGCCATTCAGCATGGCTGGAAGCTGAGTTTAACAGCTGAAGTGTCACACTGAAATTCAGGAGGATAAATTAGCTATATCACAGTTGTATATATTTCCCAGAGATGTTTAGATGTGCAGGTTTACTTTATAGCCTGCCAAGTGGCATAGAGTGGTAGTGGAGCACTCTATAAACACCCTCTGAGGAGCAGAAAGGGACAAGGGCTGCACCTCCTGGCACAGGGAAACCTTTTTTTCTCCTCTCCCAAGCCATGTCCCTTCCCTGGCACTGCTGCCCAGGCTGCCAAGACATTTCTACTGGGGTGCAGGCTCTTGTGGCTGCATCTCTGAAGACAACTCTAGGGCCAGTCATGTCCAGCAAGCAGATTTCCCAGGTGTTAAACTTGTCGATGTGAGTGTTGAAGAAGTTGACTGATGTGTTTTTAAACATCAAGCCTGGCCAGGGCCTTAGTCATTGCAGAAGCATGCAATTAATACAGCCCCAGGGTCCCTCTCTCAAGCAGAAACCTTTCTGGGAGGGAAAAAAGGATATATGGGGCTCAAAAGTGGAGGGGAAAGAAGAGAACATCAGTTTGGGTTATACCTGGTCTTGCCAAAGAGAAAGAGCCTGGTGAGGAGAAGACAGGAGCCCTTATCTGCTCTTCAAAGGGGAAATGTCCTTCTTATTCCATCTCCCCCAACCACACAGCCATCCCTGGGGGGAATGACACAAATCAAGTTCAAACACAACTGAGCAAATTCTTGAACTTCCAAAAAAGTTATGACCTTAGAAGGAAAATGGGGAAGAGATCCCAGTTTGCACTGGGTTGGGAGTGCTGTGCTGCTTGTCGGAGCTTCTTCCTGGACTAGCTTTAACCTGCCTTTTCTTTCTTGCTCCTCAGAGACAAAACCACTGCCAGGGGACAATTTAGTCACCAGCATGGGCAAGGGGCAGGAATTCACATCCCTTTTCAAATCTGCCAGCTGAAGCCACCGAAAATCAGGACTGGAGAAGATAGTCTGAGTGAAATATGCTGGCTTTGCACACCAAAAGGTTTTCCTGTTCACTCTGTCCTCTCACTGCCACTAACAAAGCATTTAGGGGGATATGGCTCCTTTCAAGGACAAAAGCATCTTCTACCCCTTCATCCAAAAACGAGCCAATCCTCCTACAGTGGGAAAAAAAAGAAAGAAAATGTTACAGGAAGATAAAAAGCAGATCTCTGGCTGCTGGGAATGGAAATCAGAGTCAAATCTCATGTTTACACTGTTCAGTAATATGTGCAAGAGCACAGGGGGGTTGTATCTAGAAAATGCTGCCTGTATTCAAGGGTTTCTAAAGGACTGAGAGCTCCCAAGCCTGGTGCTATTCCCAGTTTCTCCTCCTTTGCAGCACTGGTGCATACTGGTGGTCCCCAATCTCTGCTGGGAGGTTGCTATCGACTTTTATGGAAATTCTTCCTTCTGCAGCCTTGTAATCCAAACACCAGCATAAGCAGTTTTGATTTTATTAGGCTCATACCCCTCCTTGCAGCTCCCACAATCCCCAGTTTAGGGCCTGCTGGTATAAATATTGCCTAGGCCCTGTCAGGTAGTGCATCATGGTAATATAAACACTGCCCTGAGGTTTAACTAGGCAGTGCCAGCTACAACTACACTCAGCCCAGGTTTTGCTATTTCTCATATCAAACAGCACAGTGACACTTGTTCCCCTTTGTGAGAGATTCTCTTGTAATGGCATCAGCTAAAGAAGTGTCTAAAGCCCAGGAGCTTTGCATACACGAGAACTGTTTCTCCAGAAATCAGCACTGATGCACATCCCTGCCATGAGCCCTGGAACTGTCAGAGATGTTTTTAGTGGCAGCTGGAGTGTGAATTCCTTGGGCAGCATTGGAGACACGGGGCCACTGGGGAGCTGAAATGCAGAAAAAGCCAAGAGATGTTCTTCAGATGGGTCAGTACATACCCAGACAGCTCCTCCCTTTGCTCAGAAATTGTTCCCCAGCTGTATGTGGTTCAGCTCCTCTTGAAATGCAGAGAAAAAGAAATAAATTGGCCAAAATAATCTGAATTAAACTATCAAGGAAGGATAGCGCTGAGCTTCTCTGGAGGCCTTAGCAAGAGTGGAGGTGGTTAAAAGATGGAGCTGAATCTCTTTTCTCCCTCTCCTGGAGGGAAAGGAGGAGAGGATGGAGGGATATGACCCCAGAGGGGATAGAAGAGCTAAAGCAAGGAGGAAAACACCAGGCAAGTGCTTTGTACTGCAGTAGGTCCTTGGGGTCCCACATGAGTCCACAGTGGTGGCACATTTCCCTGGTGCTCTGAGTCACACCAAGCCTCAGACAGCCTCAAAAGAGGGATGAGAGACTGAAAGCCCCTCCTGAGTGTGGTTCCCATGCTCAGACAAACCATCCCTCCAGCACTAACCGTGGTTTTTTTACACAAGGCCTAGTGCTCCATGCTCATGCTCACCCAAGGTGAGATTTTTGAGCTGTTGGCCCTGGAGAAGAGCTGTCTGCCAGCCTCAGCCACAGGACACACACAAGGTGAACTGAAATATTCAATGCCACCTAATCCAATTGAACTTCCAGGATTGCTTCCACATCCAGTTTAGTCTGAAAATCAAGACTGGCACGGTTTAAATCTTTTTTTTGTACAATGAAAATGATGCCACTCAAAATTTATGTTTCCCTCTGCAGGACTTCCTGAGTGATAAACAAACAAGGGCTCGTCCTCTGTCCCTCCTCCTTCCTCTCTCCTCTTCTTCTCTGGGAGGCTGTTCAAACAGGCAGAGAACACAGCCACTAGTAGACTAAATAGAAAGCCACAGGATGCAATAATGCAGGTTTTAATAAGCGTTTAAATTGGGAGGTTGATTTAGAAGGGAAATGAAGATGCTGCTTGGTGGAAGGAGCAAACAGCCCTGAGACACCCAGGTTGGTTTGCTCGGGTCCCCTCTCTGCTCCCCAACCCTGGGCTGAACTGCAGCTTTGGCACCTTGTTTGCTCAAAAGTCAGAAATACTGATTTCATGGAGCAGCCCTGCTCCTATTAAAACCTCATTGAATTAATTAGAAGTGAAGGATGAGTCTGGCTTATTTTTAGTTCAAGAAGCAGAGGCAGGAAATCTCCAGCCTCATAAACACCATCCTGGACAGTCACCCCCACCATGCATTGGGTTGACTCCTTCCCCTGCAGTGCTCAGCTCCAGCAGACTGCTCCATCTGACTCCAGCAAAGAAACCCAAGCCCTTAATCATGGAGAACGTGTCCTGGGAGCTGATAGCAATAATAAAAAAATCCTTTTGGCAGTCACTTTGCTGAGCATTTGTTTTACAACTCATCTGTTTTGATAAGCATGTGCTCGAGGAGGCAGAAGGCAGCAGCAAAAGGCACCAGGTATCTGGGAGAAAAGGAAACTTTAATTCTCTGTTAGACAACAATTAACATCTTCCCATGTTTCATATTCCTTGCTGGGGAAAGGACCCAACAGAGCAGGATTGCCACCCTAAATCTGCTTGATCCCTTGTATGATAAGGTCAGAACACACAGATTAAGGGTGACACACAGAGATCAGGGTCTGGTAGCAGAGGCTGGTGGCACAGAAGTGCACAGTGTGCTACCCAGCTGGGATTTCCAAATCAGAGCCCCAGCATCTCCAATGTACTTCACTATGTGTTTAGCAGAGCTTTAATTGCAGGGTGATTGCACAGGGTATTCCAGAATTACCACAGATAAATTAATTGATTATTTGTTTGCTGAGGTTAAGCAGCTGTTTCTCTCAATATGGGTTTTTGCTGCTGTAGATCCATGCCTCCATATTCCTGGGCACTGGGAAGTGCCTGCCTATGGAGGTTTCTGAAAGAATGATGATGTGCACAGATGAGCTTGTGTTGGGAGATATTTGGGAAGCTGCTCTCACAGCCTGAAGATCCAGCTAGTCCTGTACAGGTGCTGGGAAGGCAGATGGACTGGAGCTGTGATCTTGGCTTGTTGCTGTTGGCCTGATGCTGATGGAGGGGAAGAGGTTGGAGGACATTGTTTCTCCGGTTGCTCCTGAGGAGTCACGGGTGGACTGCTCCCTGTAGGGCAAACCAAAGGTCCATCTGATAGAGAAATTAATTCTGGAGGTGGCCAAAAGCAGGTGTTTAGGAATGTGAAAGAGCCCAGCAAGCATCTCAGCTTTCCAGTGGACCTCCTCACTTCTCCTGCCACATGTCATCTAGGGGCTGTCCCCATCAGAGCTCCTCAGGGCAGGATCAGAGGGAGGTCAAAGTCATTCTCTGGATGACATCTGAAGAGCTGCAGGCCATCTAGTGATGAATTGCATCTGTGATCACAATGACTGTGTATACAGCAGCCAAAAATATTCCAATTGAAATAATGAAGTTACTTGGACAAGAGAATAAAAACAGACCCTGCAGCCTTCTTTCCAAAACTTGTCCCTTCAGCTGCCTAAACCTTTATTGAATAAATGGCTTTTGCAGCATTCCTGGAAGATGCTCTCCTGAAAGAACAGAACTGTCTCCATCATTAGTTATGTGTTTAATAACAGAGCTAGCACACGGAGCTGCAGTGAGGCTGCAGGCACAGAGCTGGACACCAGGAATTAGCTAATTTCTGTACAAATTAGGCAGTGACTCTGCTAATGATGACACCCACAAAAACAGGGCACAGACACTTCCCTCGCCTTTGTGTTCCTCAAGTCTCCCCTGTGCCTCTTGCCTGAGTAACATAATTATTGTATTTAACCTTGTTTTGCTTCTTGTCTTTTATTGTGTTATGTTTTAACTGAGATTTCTTTATTTCCTGCCAGGATTCTGCCAGAATCCTGTCGGCTCATACAGAGCTGGAAACGCCCCTTACAGAAGGAAACAAATCTTTCCCTGGATTGCCTGATAGATCTTTTTTGGAATCTAGATTGACAAAAACACTCTACCAACAGCACTTCTATCTTTCAGAGTGGTTGCCTTTTATTTTTCATGGTTTGATGTCTCTTGGCTAGAACCTGGAAAGGAAAAAAAAACGCATCATCTTTCTCTGCTGAGCTTCTAATTAATCATTTTCATTATGGCAACATCCAGCCCTAAATGTCTTGTAATCCCTGCCTCAGATATTACACAAATGTAGAGCAAAAGGATGAGCCCTGGCACCAGAAAGCAGCTCTGGGGCTGCTGAGTGATCCCCAGCACCGTGGGGACTGCGGGCAGTGGCTCTGCCTGACACACTAATGGGATTATAGCTCCCTGTCTACCTGGATGAAAAACATACACTGACTGCCTCCGAGAGCACTTTGCACAAAACACCCAGTGCCACGAGGGCACGAAGCACCAGGAGAGATGCAAATAAGGTTTTCTTGAAGCCAGTGTCTGACTGAGGCATCAGGAGTCCTTTATCTGTCTCCCACCTTCTTCCCTTCATAATATCACTGCCCCCATGTTTATTGCTGCTTGCTATTCTTTCTGTTCTGCTTGTTTTCACAGACTTTTTCAGGCTGGTTGTCCCTCAGGGTTATTAATTCTTTGTAGAATGGCAACAGAAGAACAAAGCAGAGCTTTAGGAAAACAGTTCCCAGCGATAAACACCACACAGGTCCTTTTGTCACCTCGAACGAAGAATTGCTCACAAAAAGTAATGTTTGGGGTTTTTTTCCTACCTTGCAGGTGCTGTGGTGATTGCCTTCGTGGTCTGTTGGCTCCCTTATCACATACGGCGTCTCATGTTTTGCTACGTCCCCTCCAGTCACTGGACAGAGTGAGTCATGATGCTGGGGATGAGCCCCCCCACCCAGGACAGGTGTGGGCTCAGGCTGCAGCTGGAGGTGGGGATCTGGGAGCAAAGGTGCTCCCCACGTGCAGGGTTCAAGCCTCAATCACCTGTTTTTTTTCATTTTATTTTACTTTTTTTTGGTGATTTCTCACCGTGTTTGCCAGCAAAATTAGCAGTTCTGGTTTTATCCCCTAAATCTCCCAGCTGTGGGTGAAGGAAACATGAGCTTGAACCCAAGTGCATCATCATGCTTAGCCTTCTGCTGTGGCTGCGACCACAGGATCGCCCCCATTAACAACAGGGATGGATATTCACCTCTGACAGCTCTTGCTGAGATGAGATTTGGATGGGGGGGGGGGTTATACTTCCCAAGTGGATTGCTGTCTCCATGGCAGAGACATCAACCACTGGCCTTAAGACAGAGCAGCTCCTGTGAACACACAATTTAGCCTCATGACACCACATTTCCTTGGTGACAGGAGAGATGACACAGGTGGAGAAGTAACTGGGATTTGCAGGGGGTGGATCAAAATGAAATACCAGCAGTTGCCACTGATTAGAAACCACCCAGATTCTCAGGGAGTTGAGGGATGATTGCACACCTACACTGAATGCCCGACGTGCAAGGACTCACCAGCAGCTCCGTGCAGCCTTTCTGCCACATCTGCCCAGGTTCCTCAATAAAGCAGCCAAAGAACCTATTATTCATTTGAAACATGTAATTAAGCATTAATTCTGCCTGGGGATCCGCACCCAGCTAGCCTGAGATGCACTCAGTGATGAAAGATCTTTCGTCCCATGGTGTTCTGTCCCTCTTCTCTCTGGGACCAGCTCTGTTTGCTGCAATGAACAGGGAAAGAAAAATAATCTACAACCCCAAAAAGCAGAGCGACTATACCACATTAAAATTGCATCAACTCCAAGCACAAAATAAAAAAATAGTAAATTATGATCTAGCAGTCTGCTGAATGGAATTGTACATCCATCCGTAGTAAAACCCAAAACCTATCTGCAGTCATGAAACAGAGCTCTAGGCACACACTGGGACAAACTGTTGTTTCTTGTTTGCTTTCCCATATGAAAAGCACTTAAAGCAGCAATCAATTATGTAATGACTGCAATTGCTTTGAGCAAGAGGGGTGGAGGAGTCTGTCTGCAGTTTAGTGTGAATTTATGCGCTGCAGTCGCCTTCCCATATTTTTATTTCTTCCTTTAAAAGCCATGAGCAATTTTAGGAAAACACTGAGTTTACAGACAGAGCATGAATGGTGAGCTATCAGTGTGGTAGCTAATCAAGAGCTTGCAGCAGCTTGATGTCTTCATTTATAAACCCCTGTGTCTGCCCCAGAAAAAAAAGAGACTTTTTTGCCCTATTAATTCTTCACAGCTCTATAGAGGACCTCTGCTTGCAAGAGCTGGATGGGCCACGCAGGACTTGGCAGTGCTGAGGGGGTGTGGAGGATTGGTGATGGACTCCAGCACACGCCTATTCATCTTCTGTTAGACAGTGCTTAGACTAACAAAAAGGTCTGCAATTTCCACTAGGATAAATGATCCTGGGGAACATCTTCCTGCAAATGAGACCCACGGTGTTTAGAAACCCTTCACCAGCTCAGAGCTGTTGATCCCAGTTGTCCAAGGAAAGATGTTTCCAAAATACAATTTAAAATAAAAAACACACACCCCTAAGCATTTTTAACCAATTCTAGTTGAAAACATTATATTGTGATGGTCAGGATTTGTATCAAAAGCACGTTATCATCCCCCAAATAGAGGATGTTATCCAAGGGTACGGACAAATCCCAACCCAGGGACCCACGGAATGAGCTGAGGCAGCTCTCACTGCCAGGGGGAGGAGAGAGCTACATCTGTTCCTGGATCTTGGCTCTTCTGCAGGCTCTGTAGACCAGAACTGCAGCCAGAAAGCCAAGCTAATGTATATGCATGACACAGAAACAAATTTCCATCTGGTTTCTCGGTTTCACACATCTATTTTAGAAGACAGAATGGATGCAGGAGGTAAATATCACATCCGGACCCGGGGTGTACATCACTTTCTAAGTGCTAGTGATTGAGGTTAGATGTTTGCAGAGATGTTTGACCTACGTTTGGCCAGTCCCAGGTAAAAATATAAATGTTTCCATGACTAGAGCATCCCTCTGACAAGGAAAGTCTGAGAGACCTGGGTTTGGAGAAGGTTGAGAGAGGATCTTATCAATGCTCATCCATATCTGAAGGGCAGGTGTTAAGAGGCACCTCTCAGTGGTGCCCAGTGATAGAACAAGGGGCAATGGGCATGAACTAGAACACACAAAGTTCCACCTACACATAAGGAAAAACTTCTTTGCTGTGAGGGTGGCAGAGCCTGGAGCAGGCTGCCCAGAGAGGTTGTGGAGTCTCCTGCTCTGGAGACTCAAAACTCACCTGGACACCATCCTGGGCAACCTGCTTCAGCAGGGAGGCTGGACCAGATGATCCCCAGAGGTCCCTTCCAACCCTCACCATACTGGGATTCTGTGTTTCTGTTTTCCTGGTGGCTCATGCACTTCCACTGGTAACCTCACGTCCTCCACCAAGAAAGGTTAGGCAAAAAAAAAACAAACCATGTTCTTCTCACCCTTGTGATTCCCAATTGTTTCAGTTCTCCACACTCAGATTTTTCTTTTATCTGTTCTTCCAGTTTCCTTTATAATTTCTACCACTACTTCTACATGCTGACAAACGTCCTCTTCTACGTCAGCTCAGCCATCAACCCCATCCTCTACAACCTGGTGTCTGCAAACTTCCGACAGATCTTCCTCTCTACACTCACACTCCTGTGCCTGCCATGGAGGAAGAAGAAGAAACGACTGGCCTTCACCAGGAAATCCAACAGCATCTCCAGCAACCACACATTTTCCAGCCAGGTCACAAGGGAAACCACATACTGAAGCCAAAGGAGCAAGGGAAACGCATCTCCTTGTGCAGCTGAAACTTGAGAGAGGCCTCTGTGACTTTCATGCATGGTCTCCAAATTCACGTAACACAAATGTGTTTAGCAAAGTCATTTTTGTTGGAAAAATAGGCTTCGTTCTGCCAGTAATGTTGAGGTTATTTTAAAGCATTGGCCTTGCCTCTTGTGAGTAATGTCTACATGTCTTGTAACTTCAGTCTGGCGTAAATCCAGGTGCAGTGTTAACTGGGAAGCCAAAACTTGTTAAACTTAGGCAAAATCATGCTGCATTTCATCCCTTTCTCAACGCAGAGATGCCACGTTTGCATCCAAGGGTTTGAGATGATGTCTCTTGATGGCACCAAGCAGACAGCCTGATGAGGAGAAGGCAGTGTTGGACTGAAAGGGAAAAGCAGTTTTGAACAGAAAGGGATGGTTTTAGAGCATGGACATGCTCATCTATGGGATGTTCAATGAACAAGGAGTGAAAACTCAGGGAGGCAGGTGGTTGTTGTAGAAATAGATCTAAATTATGATTAACATGACCTAGGTGCTCAAGAAAGCCACTCTGGCTCCTTGAAATTAAACAACAGATGATGCCTTACCTAGATTGGGGTGGCTGTGGCTTGAGGGAATGAGGGTCATCTTTCACCTTAGGGGACATGTAGAATCCCTCCCTTGCTGCTGTTGGTACTGCAACACTAATAACTTACAAAGTCTCTGGCAAAGTCAAGAGAGCAGAAACTGTGCCCAGATGGAGTGCTGGAAATGAACAGAAATGGAAAATCTAACTGTTGCCATCCAGCCAAACCTTATATTTTTTTACCAGGGAGAACAGTTAGCTGGCCTGCATCAGGAGCTGAGGAAACTCCAGGGTCATGAGGGCTCCAGGCTACTGAGATAAAAGCAACCTGCCCCAATTCTATGGGACCTTCAGATTTTCCCCATTCTTATTCCAATTTCACTCATTTCCTCACTGTTTTCACAAGGCTGACATCTCACAGGTTGTACCAGTTGTAGGCAGCAGGGCCTCCTCTTCTACCTTTTCTTTTATTTCTCTTTGCTACCAGACCTGTTGGCACACTGATCTACACACACAAATCTTCAGAGAGTGCAAATGAAGACTGCAAGAAGGTCAAAACTGGGGATTCTTACCCGTAAAACTTTAACAAGCCAGAGGAACAGAAAAGATCTAAAAAATCCCTTTGAAATGTCTCAGCTGGCCAGAATAGACAGCATGAGCTTTTCTCCCATCTGCTTCCACCTCTGTAGCCCAGTATGTGATGCAGCAAATTGCTCCAGAACCTTTAGCACCAGAAATCACAGACCTCTGGGACAAGCTAAAGGGCTTTCCCCACCATCACATCACCAGATGGTGACCTGCATGAACCTGGAATGAACCAATCATTCTGTGCAGCCGCTGCTATGATCTTGCTGGTGGTGACCCTGCATCCCCTTTCACACCACACTTCACTGGGAGGGCAGGACTTGCCTCTTTGTGATGACAGATGAGCAGAGTCACTTGGCTCAGCTCAGCCCATAACCTGTCGCTCGTCAACTAAGGAGCATCCTTGGCACGTTACAGAAGTCTCAGTGCTGGAGATGTGGGTCTGGCCCCAGGGAACCATCACATGATGATGGAGAACAGCTACTGATCTACTGGGTGCTGGTGGCTTCTCCTGCTACAGATGTGGTACGCTGGGGGTTAGGCTCTGTCAGGCTCAGGGCACAGAGAAAACACCCGTGGGGTATTTGTTGTGAGCTGTGAGTGATGACTATCTCCTTCCAAGGCACTGATAACCTGGCAGCTGTACAGACCTAGCTACCATGGTAGACCTGGCTACCATCAGCCAACCTCCACCCACATCTGCCAGGGATGGGAGAGTATTTTAATGCCTAGTCCAGAACCACTCCAAAAGAAAGGGCTCAAAACAGAAATCAGTGGGGCTTTAGTTTCTTCTCATTCAGCCAAACTGCAAGCTTTGTTCTCTCATGCCTTCTTTGAATTTCTTGCCCTAGTTGTACCTGAGGGCAGAGATTATATTTGACAAAGCACTTTTGTTGCTCATGCGTGGTTGACTCCACTTTAGGAAGACAAGCAGGTAATGGCACACACACGTGTGGGAAAAAAAGGCAAAAAGAACAGTCTTTTTGGAAAGAAATCTGTGAGAAACCAGCCAGTGTTATCTCTGTGTGTGTTAGAAATGGCTTGAGCAGGTTGGAAGAAGAAGGTCTAGCAGACCTATACATACTGGGAAAATCAGGTATGATGAGCAGAGGAAGAGGAGTCTTAATGTCACACACTTACTGTCCTTCCAGGCAAGACACTCCAAATGCTTCTGGAGAGAATCCAAATTTTTTTAACTTCCCTTCTAAATAGAGTCAACAGCTGGGAGGTGGTTTCTGAAGCCTCCCACGGAAGCTGTAACTGTGTGTTGCTTTGACTTTCATTAGGATTCAACATCCTGCATGTCTCAGTTGCTTTTGAAATGTTAAACATTACTAATACACTTGTTCAACACCAACCTGCTGAAACCTGCTTGATTATCTTAGAAAACACTGTACAAAAACTTGTTTCACCTAAGATGCTTGGCTCGGGTTTTCATTTCACTGGCAGCTTACAAAGTATTTGATCACAGCTAAGAGAAACTGGTAGGTTTATTTTTGGTTTGACAGGAAAATGGGAACGAGCTGGAGTGAAAATGAATTGATCATAAACTCTCCACCACGTTTGTTGGGCCACTCAAGTCTTGAAGAACTGTTTGGGAGGATTTAGCCAGGTGGTCTGCTGGCTTCTACAGCTCTGTTCCTTCAGTTTGACTTGGGAGTAGACCCAAGTCTGTGGCCTTAAGCTGAGCTTGCAGCTCAAAGCTACCTCTTCCACTGGCCAAATCTGACCACCTTGAGCTGAGAAGTTACAGCTGATTTCTCCCTTTCTCTTCTCCTCTCCTAAGTTTGCTATATTCAACCCAGAGATTTTAGTTTTCTTGAGCTCAAAGAGGTGAGGATAACTCACTGCAAGACCCCATGGTTCTATAAAGGAGAGCACGACAACATAGAGAAGGAAAAGTACCAACTGTCCAATGGTTCTTCCATGCCTTTTAACAGCAGTTGAACTGCTAACCCAACAAGGTTTAGCTTTAAACCTGATTGAGTATAAGTGGCTTTTGCAACTAGACAAAACATGTGCTCCCAGCCTTGGCACTCCTGCCTCACCTGGAGCCCCCACTGCAGCAGAGGTGAACGTTGGTGTGGCACGCTGCTAATCTATGCACATCTCCTGTAAGTGGTTTGAATTTCAAAAATAAAATAAAATCTGTTGAACCCAGAAGTGTAAAGTGCTGCCAAATGTGTTCTGAGAAATTCCCATGAAAAGAGAGTCTATCAAGGGACCTCTTCAAATGTTATTTTGAGGTTTTGTGTCTCTTCAGTGTCCACGTCAGGGCCATCCTTTTGGCAACGCGTGACATCAGATTTATGAAGTCATCAGAAATCTTCCCCCAGGCAGGACTTTCTCACCAATGGCCCAGTGCACATCAGCTTTTGGATGCTCTGCTGAGCTGGTCTGTTTTGGGAAGTGCACAAGACCTCACTCCAGCGACCGTGAAGGAGAAACCTCAGTGGAGAAGTCAGTGAGAGGTCAGCAGGACACATGCTGTAAACATGACAAGAGATGACCTTTGCATTTATAGCATCAAACACCCAGTGAGATAAAACCCCAGGGGTGCTGTTGTTGCAGACAGCTCCTCTTGCAGGTTTGACCCCATCGTTTGTGCCACCACTACCTGCCCTTGGGAGGGACAGATGCCCACAGGCCACCAGAGCTCTCTCTGTTATCTCCCTCATGGTGTTTGGTAGCTGTTTGAGCAAAGCTGGATCTGCTAGAGCTCTGCCTGGTTCTTAACACTGCAGCCCAACAAGTTCTTCTGTTCTCAGTCTGGATTTGTTTCGTACAAAACCAGAAATTGCTAATCCAAAGTTTCATGATGCTGTGTCCTGGCTTCGTGGCCAAGAGTCTGTCCCCAGCCGTGCCACCTGATAGTCCTGCAGATATTGTATTTATGGCAATTATTTTTTAAAGTGCACCTTTTTTTTTTTGTCTGAAATTCAAAATGTTGATGTGCTTTATTTTCCGTGACCTGTTGCACAATGGGGGGAAAAAAAATAATGAATGTTACAAGTGTGTCAGCATCTCCTTTGTAATATTTTCTGTGACAAAGGGAAGGAAGAGGGTGGGAAAGCCTTTTAGGGAAGAGGGTGTGAAATCCTTTTGGGGAGCAATGGGAAACACTCTTTCAGTGTTACAAGCTGTTATCCATGCTGTATTTGCTGATCAAACTGTAATGAAATGGTTTCTTCCTGATACAGCCTTTGTACTGTATGGTATTTTATTTTATTTTGTCTTTTATTGATCCTAAAAAAATAAATATCCAAATTTAAGGCTTGGGCTTGTTATGCTTGAAATGGCAGATATGCCTTTACCATGCAGCTTGCTTACCAGCACAGGTTGTCTGGCTGTGGTCTTCACTGGTGAAATCCCACCAACCTTGGACTGACCTTCCATCTCCACTGAATAAAGCCCCCAAGTGCCCCTTCCCCCCCACCTGCAAGTGCTGCCTCTTTGGCACAACACAGCATCTCCTCTGCTGACCACTTGCCCAACACAGAAGGATATTTTCCTCCACAGGCAAGCCAGCAGCCAAAGTTCTCCCTCCACTCAAATCCTAGACCAACAACCCAACATGCCAGATGACTGGAGAGAGAAATAAGTCAACCCATCCACTCACAGCATAGGATGTGCAGAAGGCAGCAAGCTGAGTCCAGAACCATGCCATGGTAGGTGGAAAGACCCAGCTGACCAGTCCAACCCCAAAGTAACTGCCAGGAGAGAGACTCATCATCTCACCCCACCAGCTGTGGGGATCTATTTGCTATGAAGAGTCAGGAAGCCCTTTCAACAGCCAGAACAACATACCCACCATGCAGTCAACACTCCCAACACCACTGCAAGAAGTGTGCTCTTATAGAGATGGCTTCTTTCCCCACCTCCAAGTTACTGTGGAAGGTAGGGGCACCTGGTGGTGATCTCCTCATCAGTTCCCACCCCAGGCTGGCCAGACCCTGGGTGAAAACCAA